TAAAGTGTGATTAAAAATGTTTGTAAGTAATTCCGACAGTTTTGATTAAATTTCTTAACTCGGAAGTCAGCCGAAACTTAGCTACTTCTATCGTAAGAAAAGGCGAAATTCCATCGGTAGTTTCTGCTAGTTTTCCTTCTATAGTATTGAATATATACACATGTATAATTTAAGATACGAGAAATAAAATTTCTGCCAGTTCCAGTCAAATAATATTACTCGTTTGTAACTTATCACTGGCGAGGAAAATATCAATCGTGTATATAACAAGTGCTTTCACGTCGCGCGTCGCGTCACGTACTAGAATCCAATAAGCGTACAGCTTCTCCTTAAAAGCTATAAGCTATTCCATAAATGTGTAATAAACATTGCCGCATGTAATAAACTCCGATATTGCAAGGCAGATACCACGAGAAGTTGCGGCTATACGAAATAAATTTCTTATATGTACGAAAAACACAGATTGAACATCCCGCGATCAAAAATATATGATAATCTCCTTCAGTATTACCGAATTTTCTACTGACTGTAAACCGGTATCGTTCGCATTTAATTTCCCGCAATCGATCTCATATCAAATGTGTACTTACGTTTCGTGGCGTGATTGACCGCATCTCGTAACATGATTGACCAAATCTCGTGGAATGACTGAGACTTCGTGACATTTTGTGTAACACCACGGTATTAATTACGCGCGACAGGAAAGGAGAGACGAAAAATATACGATTTCACAAAGTTACTATTCGCACTCGTCTACGCAACGCGATCGTCTAATTATTAGTTTATTAATAGTCTAAGCGTCTAAATTATTAGTTAGTTCCGTCCACGAGCGATAACACCTTTTTTTAACAATCAAACTCGGGCGAATCTCGCTCACGTTGCGCTTCAAAATTTTCATCGGTCGAGTTAAACACTTATCACATTCAGATGAAAAGCGCAAGGTAACACATGAATCGTCGGGTAAATGATAACAAAAGATTACAATATACCGACCGCTTGCCGAGAAATAATCACTCTAACGCGCCGTTTAATAATCGAAATGAAGACTTTTCTAAGCAAACGCAGCGACCAACCGACACCGAGGCAGACTGATAGCCGTTTGTCCGTGAAAGAAACGCAGCAGGTACGGCGTATCTTTCGTTACTCGTCAAAATTGTTGATATGTTTTTTCAAACCTGCGCACCGCTCGCTCACTGTTTACGTCGAGCCGCCGCGCCGCCGGCGACCGCCGCACGGTCAGAGGACGTTCATGCTTCGCAGTATCGTTCGTGCCGCCGGTACGTACGCCGCGGGGCGATGTGCGCGATCATTTTCCGCGTTAGTAAGTGACGCCGCAACCGCGCGATCGTGCCGATTGACTCGGCGAGTGCCGCGGGACCGTCGTTTTCGTTCCTCGGAAGAGACAAGCCTTTCCTACTTCGCTATTCGAGTTACATCGCGTCGTGACGTGACGCGCGCAGTGGCCGCCGGGAACGGCGCCCATGTTGTATCCATTCGAGAAGCGCCGTGGACACGCAGCGGATCGGACTCGTGCGATGCTCGTCGCGTTTCGCGGTACGCACAATCGCGGTGAGTTTACCATTGTCCAATTTAACAATCGCGCGACGTAGACTCGACGCTCGCGCGTCGGTGAGCCTCCGAGACGCGTAAGTCTGAGACATCCCGGCCGAAATCTCACGCGCGGTCGGCGTCGCTACGGCGCCGTCGTATCCTCGCGCGCCGCGAGTGTACACCGAGTTCTCCAAGTGTAATTCGTGTCGCCTCGCGCGCGCAGCAACATCCGAGTTTTCTCACGCGTGACGTGACGCGCGGCTGAGACGTTTGCGCGAAACGTTCCCGTCATTTCGCGCGACGCCACCTCGCCAGATTCGGCTAGTGTTTCCGCCGGGAGTGCCGTGTCGTCCGTCAAGCTGGTGGCAGAGAACGATCCGTAAACGCTTACGACTGGCTCAGTTGTAGACGTAGGGCTAGGCGGAGAGAGACGTAAGTCGTGAAAGGCTATTGTGTACGGCTTACGTTTCTCTCTGCCTTGCCCTACGTCTACGACTGAGACAGTCTTAAGCGTTTACGGTTTGTTCTCTGCCATCAGCCTTACTTTAACTTGCTTCGGTAATTCGCTTCTCTTTCGCGAGTGTCGCGTTGTGCCAGTGCGAATTCGAGGAGTCCGAGAGGAGGCAGCGGCCCAGGAGGAGGCATCGGGCAACGGCGGAGCAACTC